ACACGCTGACCATCGACGTACACGGAGCCCTGTTTTCCGTTCTGTAGCACAATGGCCACTTGGTATTCTCTCTGTGGATCCCAAGTGCTGCTGTGCTCCGCGGTTGTTCTGCCACCGCACAGCGCCTGCCACTTCTTTCCGCTGCCGTACGACAACTCCATAAGTTTTGTTCCTCCGTCACTGCCTGCACGCACACCCATCAAAGGGACGCTGTCACTTTTAGGCTCACCGTGGATGGACACCGTCGCCACAAGAGTGAAGTTGTAGTTTGCAAAGTGGTACAGCTGATTCTCCCCCTGACTGCCAACGGGCCACTCCGCCCACCCTCCCCGGAACTTCACACCATCGGAATTCTCAGTTACCTCTGTTGCCGCCCCATTCGTTCCTTTCTTTACTGTGGCGTCCACCCCGAGGTACTCGTCCCTCCATGTGGTATCAGAGAAGTTGCCGGACAAAAAGCCAACCAGCCCATCCTTGATCTTACCAGCGCTGCAGGGACTGTCAGTTGAGGAATCCTCCGTAGCACGTGAAAAAGGACACAGCTTGGAGACACGTTCGTCCACTTTCTTCCATGTAGCCAGCACCTCCTTCACCCGCTTCAGCTGCTCAGTCAGAAGCACAGAGACCATACTGGATGATTGTCTGAACCCATCGTCCTTCTTCTCGTACAGCGCAATCAACCCCTCCTTATTCTCATTATCAGTGTTAATTGCACCACTGTACAACAGGGAGCTGGCGGCAACGTCATCATCACCGGATACCGGCCCAATATCAACAATGTGCGTGTTGTCCGTCAGCCAAAGATGGAGTACGCCCTTTTTCTCTTTTTCCTTGGAAAACACCGGCAGAGTAACGAGCATCACAGTTCTCTTAGCACCATCAACACCGTCAATATTCGCTGTGATGAACCCGCCCCTAACGCCCTTCTCATGTCGCTTTTGGTTGTTGCCCCACACGCGCGAGAATGTCCCGAGGGCCTCCGTCCACGAATCCCCCTTGTCACCGGACTCGTACACCCTGCGGCGGCCATCATCACACGCAGTCATCATCATGAGTTTGTTCTTCCACTCCACGACGGAGGGATCAGTGCAGCCATAGGCAGACATCCCCTTCGACAGCGTCCAATTCTTAGTATCCTTTGAGTATAGGATCAGCGAAACGTTGTTATTCTTTTCTTCCTTTGCTTCACTTTCAGTGCCGTCCTCTTTCACGGCTTCCAACGGGAACACAAGCGTATCGTCATCCATCTTAATACCCGATCCACCGCCTCCAATGAGCAATACCCAGGATTCATAAAGCTTTACAATCGAAGTGCACGGGAGATCGTCAGTATCTTCCCAAACAATTCGTTTCTCCTTTTCTTCACTGACATTCCCCTTTACCAGCAAAAGACCCCATGAGGCCGCGTCAGCCTCACCCTGACAAACAGGGACATTTTCCCTGATGTATTTTCCAGCAAGCATGTAAATGTCACTTCCCTTCACAACTGTTGTTGGCCGGCTCACATGTGCGCTGTGGAAACATTGGGAACCAGCGCAATTCGTTGACTGAGAGGGGCATTTGCCTTCTTGGGAAGAACATTTCTCCAGTGCCTTTGTCTTCAATTTACTTCCACCCAATTTTTTCGGGTTTTCACCACTCAACTCAAGGAACTCCGAGGCAATCCCAGTAAAGAAATGGTTTTCTTTCTTCAACAGCGCCACGGCAAAGGCAAACACGCCACCATTCACCTCAACAAGACTGGGAGCATGGAGCGAATCGACTGTTTCTCCATCTTTCGTATCTCTCCAAGCAATATGTTTATCCAGTGAAGATCCCTGACCTGACGTTGGCTCATCAGCTTTCACAGCTCTTCCAGTGTCGCACATCATCACGACGAGGAGAAGCAGCACCGCGGAAGTAAACAAATGCCGGGACATGTTGGGCCTCTGCGGCTCACTCTCTCTTCCTTCCCTCCTCCTTCCGCTGGATCCGGTCACGCGGCGACGGTTGTGTGTGCGGGGTGCCTTCACTGCAGCAACACGTGAGAGCATATAAATATGTGTGTGTGGGCGGTGTGTGTGCTGTTGGTCCTTTCAGAGCCTTCGAATTTCACAGTAGCAATTAGCGCTTGTTTTCTTTCTTCGTAAGAGAGTGACAGAAATGAAGAAAAACAGGCTAATAAAATATGGGTGAAAGAATAAGCACCGCCATCCACAGTGAGTGGCACCATCATCCCCGCCGCAGTCACTCCCAACAACAACAACTCACGCACACAGAAACACGGAACGAGAAGAAAGAACAGTGCACCGGAAACACACAGCGACTGCCACCAACAGCAGGAGTCACGGCGAGCGTGTCGTTACTCACGCGTCAGCACACACCGAGCAACGCCCACATCCAGCAAAGCAACCTGCGGAATGCAAAAACACACAGCCGTCCTTCGCAGAACCCGCGCGCTGCCACCAGTCATTTTACTGTTCATCCTTCCAGCGCATTCGCACACCGCTCCGCACAGCCGGAGGATCCCCATCGGCCAATGTAAAGCAAAAGAGACACGGCAGCACGCGCATCTGGGCGGGAATCTGTCAGCGGTTTCCCCAGGCATCCTTAATGCCACACCACTCACTGCCTGCACGCCTCCAGTACCACACAACCAGCACATCAACAAGACAGATCGCAAGCTCCCGTCCTCCCTCCTTGCAATGGCCATCGCAGCCAAAACCTTTTGCGTGTGTGCGTTCTCAGCGTTCTCACCTCTACACAGGGTGAGCCACACGGCGTATTTGCATCTGCGCGTGTGTTTTTCAGCGCCTATACATGCAGAGCATCTGTACGGCAAAAAAGATTTCAAAGAAAGCAACGGAATAGAGAAAAGCGGATAGCACACACGCACTCCCACGGCGTCGGAACAGACACACAAAGCTCACGGAATGGATGCACTCAACCAAAACACAAGTAAAACAATAAAAAAAGAGTAAAAGAAAAAAAAAAAAAGCCGAAGCGTGGGACGACCAGCGCACACATTCTCATTGCTCCCGTAAAGCAAAACACACACACAGGGAGAGAGAGAGAGGTCGCCCACTCAATGCAATGAAAAACAAAAAACAGTTACGGTGCTCCGCCCATGCAGCCAGGCAGGACGGCAGCGGTGCGTGTGGTGCAAAAGAGAGCACCAACGGGCCTGCATGGGTGTGCATTCATATATACAATGGGCACATTATGTGTGTGCTTCGTGGGATGAGGTGAGGGCGAGAGTCCATGCAAGGGGACACACACAGAGAGTGAGAGAAGGACGAGTGTGTGTGCGAGCGGTGCATGGCTCTCTCTCCCTCACTCTCACGCGGCCACCACCGCAGCAGCCGCCGCACACACAACAAGAAGAAGAAGCAAAAGAGGGGAGGTGGCGTGGGAGACCGCGGTGCTGCCGTCGCTGTCGGTAGTCTTCGTGTCATTTTCCACAGCGGCGGTTTCGACTGGTGTTTGCTTCGTATTGCCGTGCTCCTTTTCATCTTCTTTTCCTTCTCCTCTCCCTGCATCATCGGATTCCGGTGCATTCTTCGGCGTCCCCTCATTACTGGTGGTACTGCTGACAGCTGAATCTGATGGTGGCCCTTGCGGTGTTGGGGGTTCGACGGGCTCCTCTGGAATGGTAGCGTAATACGTACAAATAAACTCAACGTCACGGTCATGAGTTACACCCGGCGTTTTATCATAAAAAGCGTCACAAACCCCCTTCATCACTTTGTGAATACAGATCCTCTCAGCTGTCACATTCAACTTCCCTCCTGTCGTGCTTTCATTCGCGCATTCTTCCCGAATCAGAAAATACCAATTCAAGATCAAATTCTCCTCATCCGTTCTTTTACTGGCAACAACACCGGCAGGAGCTTCCACCACCTTGTCCGCAAAACCGCCGCCGACACCGCACCACAGCACGCAGAGGGCACACACCAGCAGCACACGGCCAGTCATCATCATCGCCATCACTCCTGTCAGTTGCGTGTAGCCTTCAGCACAAACTAACGCCCCGTCAACGCGGAGTGAAAGCAAAAGAAGAGAAGAGTCAGTCAGCCACGCACCGTCCCATCCAGCAATGAGAGTCACGCACCACAACAGCAATTAAGTGGGCGCGGTTCAACAACAATCAAAAAAAAAAAATGAGAGAAGCGCTCCTCGCCCTCGCACCCTTCCTCACACTCCCACAGTCACTGTTACTGTTGTTCCCTCTCCGCAGGCCCTCACAGGCACGTCACGCTCACTTCAACACGCGCCCCTCCAGCACAGGCCTCGGGATCGTCGGGCCCTCCCAGCACAGGCACTCCGTCATGCGCTCCCGCTGCGCCGCAACATCCGCCACCTCCTCCGAGTCAAGCAGCTCCGTGTCCTCCACGTCCCTCACAATCGCCGGCATGCCCTGGCCGCACAACACACACAGCGCCACAATGTCGTGTGGCCGGCGGCGTCGCAGTGCTGGAAGAAGTACGGCGCAGCAACCGTGCGGATTTCCGTGTGGCTGTAATCGACCTTCAACGCGTCCAGCACAAACGGTGCGGACGAAGCTTCCAGCTCTGTTTCCGCAAAGTGGAGCCACATTTCCACCTGGTTGCCCTCCAGCAAGTACGGCCGTGCAGGAAGCCGCCGCTCCGCTCAAGGCACGCAACGTGGCGCAAGATGGCGTTGGAATTGAACACGCAGCTCTCCTCCGTCCGCAGCAGCCAGAATCTTGTGCGTGCGTGTGGTATCACCTTTCTTTTCCTTCGCTTGTTTCTTCCAGCCGGAGAACCAAACAACAAGAAATTAAATAAAACAAAAAGAAAGCATAATAAAAACAAAAAACAAAAAAACAAAAAAAGCGTTGGTGAAAAGCAAAAACAAGAGTAAATCACTTGTTTATCTTCAGCAGAGGATAGAATCAGTTAAACATACATAAATATATTTATATTTATACTAAGGCGAAAAAACAAAACAACAACAACAAAAAACAACGAGTTAGGGTATGATAAAATCCATAGTTGATTTTATTGTATTTCATTTTGAAAACTTTGTCTTTTGGGTACTTGACGTTTGGTTAATTGTTCATAATATACCCTCATTTCAACACCATTGGGGTCAAATATGTACCAACGTGCTTTGGGTTCCGGCAGCGGGCGATCATCCCTGTTCCGCTGCAAAAAAAACTCAATAGCAAAACTTGCACCCAATACAAATGACAGGGCCCCAACGACAAGAAAGGCGATTCCAAGGGCATGACCGTCCTTTCCTACCCACGAAGTTGTACGGAGAAGAAACCCTTTTGATCCTCGAAATGTCGTGACGTCAAAAAACTCTTCAATTTCCATGACATATTGTCCCTTTTCAAGGTCCACGTCAATAATTCGAAGCAGTTTCCTAAAGTTTGGTAGCGCCGCTCCTCGTAGCCACACTTGTAAGTCATAATCGGATGGATCGGTTAAACTATGTCCGGGCTCATCCACGTACCATCCGTTTGTGAGATACACATTATCATTAGGGTAGGGATAGCGCAGAGACCACCATTTAAGTTGTGGTTGCAACGGCTTATATCGTATCTCTTCATCTGCTTTCCAAGTGATACCCTTCTTGTGGCAGTGATTGGGCGAGGCACTTTGACCGAGGGGTTCGCCTCTGGGACCAAAATCACTCGAATTACAAATCATAACGAGATCGGCTGCGGATGGTGCGTTGCCAGTCTTTGGGTTTACCACACGGTAAAGAACAAAGGTATCATTAAACATGGACCATGGTGCCATCCCACACGGGTTATAAATAAAATCCCCGTAATGCATCACATGTATTTTACCGTCAACATCAACGTGTACTTCTTTTCCCAGCGCATCATTCAAAAATCCGGGTTTTTGAAACGGTTCACATTCCTTGTACCTCCCACTACGACGTTCGGTTCCACGCAGCAAGTTCCGTGAGGCCCCATTGTGGTAATCCCTAAAGTTTTGAAAGAAGTTCCCCAATGTATAGTAAAGATACACCGGAGCTTTTAATGTCTCACGCACCTCCAGCATGACTCGTGTACGGGTGCCTTGCTTGTATGTTTTATTTCCTACCGTAAATGATCGAATACCTTGATTTATATTGACCGCTGGGTTTGTCGGTATATACTGGTACCGATGAATCTCGTTGTACGCTTGCCGTACCTCATAGAAGCGATCACTGGCAAGGATAGAAATAACACCCAATGGAATAAATAATGCCGCCACAAGGAAAAAGGCAAGTACGACGTAAACAGGGGTAAAGTATAAATAAAATGCAGGTAATGTTTGTTGAACAACAGGATTGCCGCCGTAACTGGTGCGGCCATAATTTGCCCATCGGCCATTTGTTATTAAATTCCTGCATTTTCTTGACGCAATAGGAGATGATGTCATTAGGCGTATAAATACATAAAGAAATCCATAAAATATATATCTATATATATGTATGTATGTATGTATATATATATGTGTGTGTATATGTATGTAGAGAAGAGAAGAGAAAAAGAAAAGAAAGAAAAAAACGCTCCTAATGCAAATGATTCCTTTTTTATTTATTTATTTTTTTTTCCCCTCTCCTTCCCACTCTCCCTATAATCTACAAGACTGAGGTCCCTTCACTTAATTATTCCCACTAAGCACACACACACACACACAAAAAAAAAAAAAAACAAAAAACAACAGACTCCTTCACTACATTCAGAGGAGAGGAAAAAAAGAAAAAAGGAAGGGGAATTATTACCCGTCATGTCACAAATCGGCCTCTCTCTCTCTCTCTGTGTGTGTGTGTGTGTGTGTTTATGATATTCACATCACAACAAACAAACAGACACGCACACAGAAATAAAGAGAAGCAGAAAGTTCCGAGAAAAAAAAAAAAAAAGAGCCGCACTTTCCCTTTTTGCATGTCAATTAATTCTTCTTTCCTTTTCTTTCCCCTTTTCTTTCCCCTTTTCTTCCCTTTTTTTTTTTTTTTTGAAACACATCGCATGCCAACTCTTTTACTTTCCACTTCCTCTTCCACCTTCCCACCCACCCACACACAAAAAAAAGAGAAAACTGCACCACCAACAAATAAGCACGGCATTTAAAATATATGATACAAATGGGAGTCAATGAAACAAACAAACAAAAAAGAAGACAATGACGCAAAAATAAATAAATAAATAAATAAATACCCACCCACCCCACACATCCACACCCACCTTCCCACAGATACAATATATATATATGTATATAACTGTTTTTGTTTCTTTCTTTCGTTCTCGTACAATCCTCCCCCCACTCCTCCCCCACCCCCCTTTTTTTTTTTTTTTTACTACAATGATATAAATACGGTACTATGTAGATTTGTAAAAAGGTGCATGGAGGTGGTGATATTTATCCTCACTGTAACAATTACTCTAATGTCTCTTTCTGCCTTTATCAAAGTTCATCTTCTTATACTCCTTTTTTTTTTTTTTTTTTTTTTTTTTCAGTTATCCTTCTTCCCCTTCATCTTCTTGTTGTTGTTATTCTCATTAGTTGCCAGATATTTATTTGTATTTATTTATTTATTTATTTGCAACGGATAAGACTGTCGTCAATCATCCGTTCCAACTGTTGAATGGCAATAGATTCCCCCACACTATCTGTAAGGAATGAACCATCCCTATTTCCCATTCCCGAGTACCCAGAGAAGGAGAGTGAGGCGCCAAAACTATTGTAGGCGGCAGCGCGTCCTTTTCTTCTTGCAACGGCCAATTGCAGTTCTTTTATTAATTTGTCATGCCGTACCTCGGCGGATCGAAGTTTTTGTGTATACATTTCAAGTTCCGTCATTAATGTATTCTTGGCGACAGAACCAACACTCCGCATGGGAACAATGGCTTCACCACCACCAACACGCTGATTGGCCCCTTGCCATGATGGAACGGACTCGCAACGTACCACGCGGTCAACATCCTGTTGTATATGTCGGGGTAGTTTTCTAGACTCCATTTTTTCAATCGCCATTTGAAGTTTTGTGAGCCGATCACGTATACGATCATTTTCACTATCTAATCTACGTACATTCCGTGTGAGACGCAACGTGGATTCGTGAAGACGTTCATACACCCTCTGTTTCTCAGCAAGATCTAATTTCTTTGCTTCATAAAGTGTACTTTGCCGTTCAATCTCGTCCCTCAAACACTGTTCTCGGGCTTCCACACCACTCGTCACCTCACGTAGTGCACGAGCCGCTTCAAGGTAATACAGCATTTCTTCGCTCCGTCGCCTGTCCGTCATGGCATCGGACTGACCCAAACTCGCATGTGCCGTTTGTTCCTCTGTAGACAGGAGCGAAGACCTGTTGACCGGGCCACACGCCACAGTGACCGCCGTGTCACTGCCCAAAGGTGGGGCAAAAGGCATGCATGACCCGTCCAACGCGCGGGAAAGTGGGGATGAGGCGGAGGAGAGCGTCACCACTTCGTCTGTCGCCTCCTGGCTGTCCTCCGGCAGCCTCCCGCTACCCCCATCATGTGGAGAAGTGGCAACGACTTCACTTTTAGAGGCCACCGCTGTCGTTGGGTTCGTCTGCCTTTTCGGTGTCCCGTGCCACAACGTCTCTTTTTTGCACCGCGCTGTCGTCAAGACGTGTGGATGTCGTGTTGTTGGCGTGCCTTTACTTTCCATGTCTTTTTTCCTTCCTTCTTGTCGTTCCTGTGTGCGTGTGGCTTCGCTGCGCCCCGTCCCTTTTCCTCCTCCTCCTCCTCCTCTCGTTCTCTTTTCCATGACGCCGCAGTACTCCCTCTCTGCGGCTACTCACCCCCTAACACACTGGATGAAAGGGTAAACAAAACAAACCAACAACAACAACAACAACAACAGAATGAAGCAACGAAAAATAATAATAATAATAATAATAATAAAACTGCGATATGCCTCGCATCTGTATCCAATGGCGGTCCATTAATGTGTAAGAGAGGTATGGATGGCTTTAGAGCCGGGGCGTGTTCGTGGGTGTGTTTGCTTTGTATACTTCCTTGTACACATGTGCGTTTTACTTCTCCCCACCCCACCACTGCAAACCACTTCATCTACTGAGGGATGGGGTTCGAATTCCCTTTGGTGGCGCACTCCGCGGCCTCCGCAATCCGCTCATCCACGTCGGAGTAAATGCGATCTTTTACTTCATCGTTTTCTGCGTTGCCTGAAACAATCTTCAGTATCGTCTCAATAAGGTCGTAATTTCCAAGAATGTCAACATGATCGCCACTGTTAGTCCCCCCGCGTAACTCCATCAATGAACCTGCACAGTGCTTATGTTCCCGCGTGATGACACGACCCACATTCTGCTTCCAGCCATTCTCTGCACGGCACATGTATCCAAGTGACATGAGGGGTACAGTTCCGTCACCGTTGCCAAGAATTACCCCATTGGTGGCACGTTCAAACTGATGGTAGGTGAGGTTGACGAAATCATCATCGCCCAAAATGTAACCCACCTCTGTTTGCCGATCAACGCCATATAAACAAACTACCGTTAAATTCGGTGACCGAGGAAGGAAGGGAAGCTCGTCAAAGTGATCCAAGAGTTCCTCAACGTGTTCCTTCTGCGCCTCATGGCCGCTTTCACGCAATCGCTGCGCTGTGAGTTTAAGAACCTGTTTTGGTGTAAGACGGGTGCGATTGGGAAGAGTTAAGATGTCTGGAAAAAGGGCATCGCAACCAAATGGGTACATGGCTGTTAGGCAAGACCATGTGCGCATTGCTTCCGCACGGAGGGAGCGGGACAAATGGGTTTCGAGAACCTGACGCACGGGGCTCGGAAGTGTTAGTGTATCTTTCGCGTCCCCTGTGAGCACAGCGGACACCGACTTTGCCACACCCAACACAGGCCCACCGATATTGATCCAGAAAGCCATATGTTTATCCACCCACCCTGGTTCGTGAGAGTCTGACCAACGTAGAAAATCAATAAGAACGTCTGTACCATAACTATGGGAAATGATGACTACCTTTTCCCCATTCTTTTCATACAGGTACAAAAGCTGATTCCGGAGATAATAATAATACCCATCCCGTTGGTGCATACGACGTGGAGACAACCTCCAGTCGTAGGAGAAGACCCCCACGCTCTGTGGATCGTAACCAATGTCTGCAAGGTTGAGTAGCACCTTAGCCCACACCCAGTATCCAGGCATAAAGAAGTCGGAGGCGCTAAAGCCAATGTCAGGACGGATTTTCACCCCTGGTGGATCAAAGCCAGTACGTTTGTCCAAAGAAAAAAGTCTTAAATAACAGAGAGGGTCCATAAATAGTAAAAATAACAACCGTGGGCCAAACATACGCTGGCGGAAATTAGACGCTATTGACCGTTGTGCCTGCACACACTCCAAGTTGTCTTTCCACACCTCAAGCGCGGTGGAGATAAAGCCGGGAATAATCATCACAGGATGTTTCCGGCGCATCGTGTAATTTTGCAAAAAATGCACACCCGGACGATCTTCATCTGCAATGATAAATGCGGCAGTAAAAGATAACACGTCTTCATGAAAGTTGTAGTACCCAAGAAGGATGGCAATAAGCAACAGGACAAGCATCACACGACGAGTGGAAAAGAAATCCACGGTGTAAAATACCGGCCGCTTGGCAAATGGAGGAAGGAGTCGATCCACTAATTTGAAGGTGCGAACCTGCTCGGCTGTCACATCGCGGGCTACAGAGATATCAATAAACTCCTCCTTTGCAAACAGGGATGTGAAAATCCCTTTGATCCATCCAAACCCATACCATTCTGCCGCCGGAGGACCAGAAGTATCGGTATCACTTTGCTTCACCAATGGAGCTTTTGGTTTTTTAAAAGAAGTAGTAGTCGCATTGCTTGTCTTCTTCTTGTCATGATGTTTTAAATCCACGTCTTCACTGCATGCCTGTTGCCCTTTCAAGACACTTTGCTTGGATGAAGGCACTTTTGATACTACCGCCCGTGACACCCTGTCGTTTTCTGTTTGAACTTCCCCCATACTTTCCTCCTTCTTCATACTGTTGTCTAACGGCGTTGGTTTGTTTTTCCCCCGACGTCTGGAAGGCATCTTTTTTTTTTTAATAATAATAATAATAATGAAAAAAAATAAATAAATAAAATATAATAAAAACAAAATAAAATAGTAATGATAATTTGAATTCCGCCCCACTCCCCCTTTTTTTTTTTTTTTTTTTTGTTTTGTTGTTGTTTTCTTTTCTTTTCTTTTCTTCCTCAATAACTTTGTGAAAGGAAAGTATCACCTGTTCAACCGCCAGGCTATTGTCACGGCAGGGCAGACAAAAAAAAAAAAAAAAAAGAGAGAGAAAAGGGAGTAAATGA